CTCTGTATATATATATATATATATATATATATATATATATATATATATATATATATATATATATATGCACACACACATACCTCATCTACGAGTAGTAATGTCATCGGCCTTTTAACATTGCTGTTGAATCTTTTTTCTAGTGCATTATATGCTTGTTCCCATGTTAAAGTTTCTCCAGATAACCGTTTTAGAATTTGTACATATGCTTGTCTAGGCTCGGATAATCTCATACCGTTAATCTCAACAAAGTCAAATTGATCTAATTTATGCTTTTCTACTGAATGTTTCAAGCATTTTACAACTTCGTTCACTGTGGCAGTTTTACCTGTACCTGGGACACCGCTTACATAAATACATCTGTAATAATATTCATATAGTTATGTATATAAAAATAATAGTTAATCAATGGGTATTTATTAAGCTTACCCTCCTCTATTGTCCATTAATTTGCCTTCTAAAAACGTATAAATATCGTTAAACTCCTCCTCCCTGCAAGGCAAGGATTTCGGGATTACACTAACATGTAATCTTGATCTGGCCCTTTGTAATGGTGTAATTGGTTTAGCTAAGACTCCAATTCTTATTTTCATAGATGGTGTTAAAGCACTATGCTTCAGTGATGTGCGAGATTTTGGAGTATTTGGATCATTTTGTATTATTGTTGATTCATCAATGTTCTTGGCATTCTTCTTTCTTTGTTTGACTGTAATGGACATATCTTTGGTACTTTTGCATATAACAGACACTTCGTCGATTTTTTCTTTATCTTCAGTTTCATGTACTGTGAGTTTACATTTATTAGAAATATTTAAGATTCTTCTACCCTGATTCTTTGTTTGTCTTTTAGGAGTGTGATCCAGTGCACTATGTTGTATTGCAGATAGCCTCCTTTTAGGGGTATCTGATGTATCTGATGAATCATATTCCATTTTGAATAATCGCTTTTTAGGAGTTCTATGAAGTGAAGTACATTCTGCTGTAATTATCTTGGAATTTATTGCAGTTTTTTCATTAAGTAGTACTTTGCTTATATTATCTTTTTTAGATATTACATCTGTGGATATATGTTTTGACGACCTGGTTCTAATCCTAGGTAGAGCATCATCATCATCATTGTTTTCTACGGAAGTAGCACAATGCTGTTTGTTACTTTTTGACTTTGTGTTTGACCTAGTAGATCTTTTATTTGAAGTAAACGAAATACAAATACAATCTGTGTCAGAATCATTATCCTTGCAATCGTTATATTTAATTTCATGTACTTTATTTACTTTTTCTCTGTCATTATTAACAGACGAAAATGATTCTTTTGTTTTGTAATTAATTTGTTCTTTTCGTAAAGTATGTTTTTCTTTATTAGGAGAAGAACAATCATAATCAGAGTATTTTTTAGGTAATTTTACAATTCTTACACCTTTATGTGGCATTTGATTTTCATCTTGTAATCTTTTCAAATGTTTTACATTTCTTGTTGATCTTCTTGGTCTTTCATTATCTGAATCACTATCTATTTTGTAACTGCTTTGCTCAGTAGACCTTCTCAATCTGAGTCTTAAGGAGACTTGTTCTTTTTGTAATGCATTTTTCCGTAATAAGAGACTTTTGTTGTTATCAAATATTGTGTCAGAAACTGAGGTATCTGAACTATCTCTTTTTATATCTTTTCTTGGTGTGTAGCATTCAGTAGACTCTTCTACATCTGTGTCTGAATTAGTTTCAAGTAACATAGATACATCTTTTTCTGTGCATTTCTTTAATCTTGCCATTGTATTATTTGTATTTTAATCTATAAACACAATAACAATTATTAAATATCTAATTTCATTGAAAAGTGTTTAGTTCCGGCTTTACCGCCGTGAATAGACATGTTCAAACTTGTTCGGATATGATCTAAAATTTTTTGGATACAATCCTCGAAATTATTTTTCAGGGAATATTAATTCATCTTTAACTATTAGAATAGTGTTAAGGAAAAATCATAGGATTACTTTGAATCAAAATTGAGAGAGAGAGAGAGAGAGAGAGAGAGAGAGAGAGAGAGAGA